AGTCCGCCCAAACAAGCAAAGCCCCATCCGTGGGATACAGGTAGCACACAAAACCACGCACCCTCTGGTCCACAGAAAAACCTCTCTCCATGGAACTGGTCCCTGGTGCCCAAAAGATTGGGGACCTTTGGTTTAGCTAGTCATGTGAACATTGCAGTTTGCCAACATTGGGTTATGGTGGGAGAATGACATGTTTTGTGCTTCAGAGGCACATTTCTTATAAAATTGATTTTGGCTTACAAGAGTTTCAGGAGGAATGATTATTGAGCTTGTTATGTTATTGAAGTTTCTCTTTCATCCCTATTCAGAATAGCATTTTGAGGTTTAGGGAGAAAGCATTTGATGATACTAGGTTAAATATTGATGTACATTGATTACTAGAGTTTCAGATAGGAAATGATTGATTGATACGCCACCTGATCCCCAAAGACTCCGAATGTTAACCAAATAAAAATATACAGTATAAAATAAGCAGGCATGCCATCTTTGTGCTGCATGGAGACCACAGAAGTTGGAGGGAAGTCAAGGCAGATATTTCTTCTATTGACATCCATTCTTTTGACTGTGCAGTTGCCACATGCAACCCACCTCAGGCCAGCTGCTTGGAATTGGCCAGTCTGCGCTTGTCAAAATCTCACAGCTGCTACAGGAACCTGCCAGGGTATTGTACAACGATAAGCATTCAATGCGAAACTCGGTGGATCAATTAGATTTAATGCTGCAGCTGCCCACAGTTGTCCCCTTTCCTACAGCCCAATGTTTCTCAACCTTGGCAACTTTAAGATGTGTGGACTTCAGTTCCCAGAATTCATAAGCCAGCCATGCTGGCTAGGAAATTATGAGACATGAAGTCCACACATCTATAAGTTGCCAAAATTGAAAAACACTACTCTACCATGATAAATGTATTGTACTCTTTTTACACTTTAGAAATTATCTTCTTCATGTGCTATTTTTGCATGTGAATTAGCCTAGTAACTATGAATCGGTGTCTCCTTTTTCAGGATACACTAGTCCTCGATTTACAACAGTTCATTTAGTGACCGTTTAAAATTACAATGACACTGAAGTGACATGATCATTTTTCACACTTATGGCCATTTCAGCATCCCCATGGTCACATAGTCAAAATTCAGACGCTTGGCAACTGACTCATATTTTTTAATGTTTGCAATGTCCCGGGGTCATGCAATTATCTTTTGCAACTTTCTGACAATCAAAGTCAATGGGCAAGCCAGATTCACTTAACAACCAGATGATTAACTTTTCAATTGCAGTGATTTACTTAACTACTGCGGCAAGAAAGGTCATAAAATGGAACAAAATTCACTTAACAAACGTCCCGCTTCATAACAGAAATTTTGGGCTCAATTGTGATTGTAAGTCAAGGACGATTGGTATCATATTCTTTTAAACTTTAGAAATTATCTCCTTTATGTGCATTTTTGCATATGAATTAGCCCAGCAATTGCATATCTGTGTCATAATAATAATAATACAGTGATAAAAATCATAGAATTATAGGGCTGAAAGGGACCTTGGAGGTCTTCTAGTCCATCACCCTGCTCAGGGCAGGAATTCTTATTCCATCCTAGAGAAACGGTTGTCCTGGTAAAGGATCATCCACAACTTAGGGAGGCAAGCAGTTCCATTGATTAATGTCAGGAAATTCCTCCTTATTTCCAGGTTGAATCTCCCTATGATAAGCTTACCCCCATTGCTTCTTGCCCTGCCCTCAGGTGCTATGGAGAATAAGCCGACATCCTTTTCCCTGTGACAGCCCTTCAGGTATTGAAAGACTTCTTTTCATTAGGCTAAACATACCCAGTTCCCTTAGCCATGCATTATATCATTTAGTTACCATCTTTAGCTTATCACCTTTGTTGCTCTTCTCTGCACTCTTTCTAGGGCCTCAGCATCTTTTTTGGGACCCGGAGATCAGAACTGGATGCAGTATTCCAAATGTGGTCTCACCAGTGCAGTATAAAGCAGTATAGTACTATCACCTCCCATGATCTTGAGGCTATCCCTCTGTTGATGTAGCCTAGAACTGTGTTGGCATTTTTGGCAGCTGCAGCACACTGCTTGATCGTACTTAAGTGGTGATCCAGCAGGACACCTAGATTCTTCTCACAGTTACTACTGTTTGGCCTGTATCTCCTTTTCTATACCCATGTGTTGGTTTTTCCTGCCTAAGTGCAGGGCCTTACTTTTCTTACCACTGAACTGCATCTTGTTAGATGTGATAATACAGTAATTAAAACAAGAAAAAGTGATAATACAATGATGTTGTCAGTCACCCACATAAAGCACTGGCTAATTTTCTCAACTTCATTTGAACTGTACATGGGACGTTTAGAAAGCAAAGTTGATAAAACATGATTTATTGCAGAAAGAAAGGAAGAATCAGGTCACCCCTTTAAACTGTGTACTTTGAGTAATTATCTGAAAATATTTAAAATGTTTTAATATTTACATGGCACGTAATAAGGAATCCACCAGATTCCTTTCTGTCACTACCTTCGGAAAACAAGACATATGCTGTCATTGACACCTTGTGGTACATTTTATGCAAACATGTCAGAAGTAGACTTTTTTTTTCTCATGACCATAGCAGATAAAATAACTCCTTCACCCTGCTGCAGTGAGTCTCTTGGTGGGCCTCTTCTGAATTTTGTGTCTATTAAATGTGCATAAGGACAGTTTAGTGGAACATGATTGTTTGATTGTGGCCTTGTGTGCTGTATGAGCCCATGCAATGTAGTTTGAAAACCATGATTTATGGCTTAGCATCTGGTGTAAACACCTTGTGTCAGCTGTACCTTATATAGTATAGCATGGATAATCAAACTATGCCTTAACTTAGTGTGTGAACTCAGCTATATGATTTATTTATTTATATTTCCTGCTTCTAGACCTCCCATCTCCTCTATAGAACTGCTAACTGCAAAAGAAGATAGGCATTTTAATTTATTAATTATTGTACAGAGGGAAGTGGAAAAAGTCTAGTTTTATAAGGCTCTTCACATGTCTGTTCAAGAGGAAGGAGCTTCTTTCTCCATGCATTCGGCCCCTAACTTAATGTTAAGCCTTAGCTGACCTTTAACCAAACTGGCCAGTTACTTAATGGAATTGTCACAAATTGTATCTTGCGTACTTTAATGCATTTTACTTGTTTAAATTCCCCTCCCACACAATTTTCATTGCTTTTCTGTGAAAAGCTTGTCTAGGACGTGATCAGATATGATTAATGTTAAGGACATTTTCTCCTGCAAAGCTATTAAGAATTATTTTCTGAGTGCAGTTCAGCAGTTGACCTTTCAAAACACTTGCATTATTTCACTGGTTTTTTCCCTTATTGGCAAGGGGGGAGGTTTGTGGCTGCCAGATCTCTTTTTCTGGACTTTCTCCCCACGCACCTGTTCCTCCCAAAGTCTTCCTCCTTTCAGTCTCTCCCTCTTCAGTCTCTATTCAACCTTTCTCTCAAAAACAATGACTAGAGCTGCACTTGCAAGGGGAAGTGGGGGAGAGAGAATCTATGAGTCATTTGCACCTGGACGGAAGTTTTAGTGCTAAAAGCTGCAACCAGGGTCACAAAAGGCTGGCTGATGTGTTGACTCAGTACAGATGCCAAGCAACTATAGAGAGCCCCAGGAACTGAGCCAGCCCAAGGTTATTTATACATTGCACTTTGTTTTCCTCTTGAGCTTATTCTGTTCTTTCAAGGATAGTTTTATATTCTCATTTTACTAGGTATTACCGTTCTGGTTTAAAGCAACTTGCAGTTTATGGACAACCCTGAATATTCTTTTGAGGACATTGATTTCCTATGTCAGTTTTCTAAGATCTGTGAGCCACCCAATCTAGCCACCTATCAGTTTGGACTAATGGGTTATGTGAATGTGCACATGCAATCAGTTAATAGTTCAGTATGTCATGCAGACTCAGAAAAGTGGATTCATTGAACAGATTATGATAAGGTGAGGTTCACTGTGTAAATCCAAGGCTACCAAAACATCCAGATGACCACTAGATGGCAGCAAAGAATTGGAACTGTCTGTATGTCTTTGCTGCCATCTAGCAGTTGTCTGGATTTTTGCAGCCTCGGGTTTCTAGTTCTAATAAACCATAGAAGAGGAGGGAAGGAACTAGGAATAAAGCAGAGATTTTGGGAGATAGGACTTTTCAAGGATGTGAATGGATGTCACACAGAAAAAGAAGACTCGTTTTCTTTCAGTGCAAATAACATTTAACGTACCAGATTGTTATTGGGGAAAAATATCCTTACATTAATTAATTACATTAATGCCCTTACAAATTGCCACCGGTAGTGAGAGGAGTCCCTTCCCTAGTAGCACTATGTACACTTCAAAAATTATTTGAAATAAATGCTTCAGAACTCAAGCACAGCATCACTCTACTATTCATTATAGCAGCCCGATTCCTCCTTCCCCACTTCCATGTGGATCCATTGCTTTAAAATTATATATTGTATTAACTTTAAACCAACTGATTCTATAAAACAGTCAAGGTTGGTCCCCTCCTCTCCTTGGCCCTATCCTTTAAATTGTTTTGTGATTTATCTTTGGAGGAGTAAATCTGCAGTGCCTGACATAGACTTCAGTGTTAAAACAACTTTAAATTTGCCTACAAAATTTTGCTCTTCAGCCTTGGTTACCAGTCCATAAACTAACATTATTAGAAGTCATAAAACTGGCTTGAGAACAAATAAGACAGTTTTATATGCTGTTTACAGAGTTGTATACATTTTGTTACAGGACTGTACTCTGCACTTTTCTCTCTCCCCATCCCCATTTCCAATGTGCTGCCCATGGATCAATATGTTATTGTGTTTAAAACTCAAGTATTCCTCACTTGATGCCATATACATCAAATCAAGCAAATACGTACAAATCAGGTTGCTTTTGATCTGGCTATAAATGGCCCAACTGTTACTTCTCAATTATCACTTGATTTGGCAGAGATTTGACTTGGAGACATTTTTCAATCAGTCATCATGTTTTAATGGATTAATCCAACCAATTGACTAAGAGCTACAGGCAGGACTCTGTCCACAAAGTCAGCAATTTCACAGAGTGAGGTTGTCAACAAATAAAAACAGATGAATTAAGTATCAGGAATATTGAAACATTCCATAATCAGTCTGTCCTGTGGGACTGCCAAATCCTTATAGACTACAATGGCTATTGTTATTGTTCAGAGGCATTTACACAAGGGGAATAAAAGTAGTCGAGATGGCAACCACAACCACAAGATTTGAAGCCTCACCTCTTTTGCACATATAAAAATGGAGCGGAGCTCTGGTCATGCAGCCCCCACCTTGATGTTTTCTTAAACTTCTTCCCCCACAGAGACTCCTAAGGCTGTCCATTCTCTATGCTGGCTGGGGCTAATGGAAATGGGAATTTAACAATATGCCCCAAACTGCAAATGTTCTCATTCAGATGAATACTATAGTTCCATCTCTCACAGTGGTTTTGCTACTAAATCTGCTACTAATTTACTCTTAAATGTTTCAGCATGTAGGATATTAAAAGTTTGACATGTCACTGAACTTGTAACGTTTTCAGGCAAGGTTTATTTTTACATCACAGGTAGTCCTTGACTTATGACTGTTCGCTTAAGTGACTGTTCAAAGTTGCAATGGAACCTCCCCCCAAAAGTACTAACCACCCAATTTTGAACTTACAATAGCTGCCCCCCCCAAGTCAAAATCACATTTTGTCTCCTTAGCAACTGGCTCACCTTTGTGGCTGTTTGCACATCCTGTGGTTACATGACTGCAATTTTTGATGTTTTTGCTGGTTTCTGGCATTTACTTTGTTTTTAGCAAACACCATCCATTGGATATAATGGATTTGTTTAATTTATTTATTTCTAAAAAAAATATTTATTTATTTCTAAAATTTATATGCCGCCCAATCCCAAGGGACTCAGGGCGGCATATTAATGACTGCAGCATTCACTTAACAACCACTGGGTTCATGTAACGCCTGCACAAAAATGTTGTAAAATTTGGTCTTGTCACATGGTGTCCTGCTTAATGATTGCAAGGATTTATGACCATAATTCTGGGCTCAATTATGGTTGAAGACTATCTGTATCTTCAGTCCTACAGCACAGTGGAGGAAACCCCTACAAACTGTCTCCATTGACAGTAGAGTCATAAGTTCTGATTTGTCCTGCTGCCTGAATTCCCTTCAGCTGAAGGGGTGAAGTGTAGCCTGATCCACATAACTTGCTAAGAAAGTGGCATGGTTCCCATGAATAGTGAACCATAAATTATTCACTTTAGCCTAATCTAGCATATTGTTATGATCTCCAGCATGTTTTATGAAGAGCATTATCCTTTCCCAAACTACTAACTTATCTACTAAACATATCCATAATTCTGAGTTGACCCTAATCACTAAAATAAAATAAAAAATGATAGTGAAACTATTTAGCATTTAATATTCAAAGCACTTTATGTACATATATCTTCTCGGATCTTTTTCCCGAAACTTCCCACTGAGGTGGGCCACCTCTAAAACCTATATTGGATGAAAGCAATTACATTAAAAAACATAATACAAAAAGAAGAGATGCTGTACCAATTTCTTAAAACTATAGAATTCGATACTGCAACCAATATATTTTTCAGTATTATTGTTCCCATAGTAAGGAAGTAGGAAGGTTTTGGAAAAGAGGTGTAGTGATGCAGCAGCTAACTCTCTGGTTCATATTGGTGGTGAGATTTTACTAGGAACTTTCTGAAACTCATCTCGTGCATCCTTCACAGGTGGCTATTACACATCAGTGGTAGGGAACCTCTTGGCCTCCAGCTTTGCCAAAATGAAATTTCCAGCAACTCTTCTCATTAGCTACAAAACAGTGATTCAGCAATATTTTAAGGAACAGATGCTCCTGTATAAAGGTACCTCTAACTCATGCTGGAATGTGAAAAACATGAAGGGCCATTTTGCCATGCATAGCAGACTTGTGAAAAAGCAAAAACAAAAAAAAGTATACAAATACATATAATGATATAAAGAATTTTAAAGCCTAATATTCAAATAAAACTAGCACTTATGGATAACCAATTAGAAAAGATTTATAGATTTGATATATGATAACTGCAGCTAAACAATTAAATTCCCCAAATTGGAAAAATACTGAAATACCTATAATGGAGAAATGGATTGGGAAAATGGCAGAATTGGTGGTAATGACAAAACTAAGTTTTTTGATAAGGGATAAAACAAGTTTTTTTAATATGTATGTACGTACGTACGTACGTATGTATGTATGTATGTATGTATAAGACTGGAATAGGGACTTTATGCTGAAAATGAAAAAAAAATGATTTTTGGATTTGCTGAATAAAAAGTGTTGAATATTTATAAAAATAATATAAAGGTGGAATAAAAATAAATAAAAAAAATACAGGAAGAGAATTGTATAAGATAATTTTAAAGAGGAAAGAGACAATAAGTTTGTAATTGCTCTAAAGGAGATTCTTTATATATATTTTCTTTTTTTTATCTGTACTATCTTTCACACTTTTATCTTTTCTTTTTTGTTGATCTCTCATTGTATTATTCTTATATTTATCTTTTAATAATGTGAAAAGTGCTAATAAAAATTATATATCTATTAAATGAAGGGGACAGGTTCTCTATAATATATCAAAAAGAAAGCAAAGTTTAAATGCCAAAATGTCCTCCAATTTCCACAAAGCTTCCTTCTCCCAGAGAAAGAGTCTTCTGTTGTTCTGCCTCATTCTATCTGCCTCAAGCCAGGGATATTTTTTTTGAGACCATTTTTAGTGTAAATATTTTAACACTGATGATGTTACTTAGTTTGGTATTGAAATGTCTGCTGGAAAACCACAAAGCTCAGAGAACACCAAGGACCACAATTCAATCTTAAACTACAAATATTCTATCAGTGTAATTAATTTTATAAAGAGGCAGTCAGTAATTCTTTTTGTCTCCTATTATCTGTATCTGCATCATTCCACAGCCTCTTTGGCTACTCCTTCTTCTTAATCTGAAAGCTCCATGGAAGGAGTTTTCTTTGGCAATCTTTTGTCTGATTTGACTTTGACCAATATAACTGAAGACTGAGATGCCAGAGACTGGGAGACATGACTGTGGAATGAAAGGTAGAGCACACATAAGTACCTTTTAGGCACTTTACAACTAAGGTAAATATAAAGATGCAGCACCACAGCCATGAGAAATCTACAAAATGTTCTTCTGCCTTGGAAAAAGTTCTGAAAGCCATTTCTCTCCCATCAAACAAAATAAGAATGATTGGGGGAAATGGAGAAGATGTTTTCATCATAGAAATAATTGGACTACTTTAAAACTTATGAGAGAGCAATTAAAGTTTACTTTGCTACTGAGGTATTCAATATGGAGGTTCAAAGAAAGTTTTTCTAAGGACTGTCCTGACTGTGTAGCTTTTCTTTAAGACCCATTGTCCTCCTCCTGAGCTCTTCCTGGGCTTTATGGTACCTGCTGTTCATTTGCAACATAAGGATGTAAAAATCAGATGAATGAAGAAGTTAATAAAAATCTGATTCATTCCAAGAACCTTTCAAATCATTTTAGTTGCACCGTCTTTCAGCCATTCCTTTTCCATCTTTCCTATCCAGGTAGCCTCATTGTTCCTTTCCCAATAACACACGTCATCCCAGCTGATTGTTTGAAAGGAATGTAATTTTCTATTATGTTACAATTAAAGACATGCTGCATTCATGTTTGTGTGTATATGTGTTAGGATTAGGGAGCCTATCAGTTTGCACAGAGGTCTCGCTTTAAATCTTTGTAGCCTTGTAGCAAACTGAGTCCTCGTGTGAGAGAAGCAGAAGCATTACTGTATGCATAAAAAGATGGAGAGTTAAATTCTATTTTAATTCTGTGGCACCCGTGCCTCACCCTATTCTCCCTCTTCTGTTGCCTTATCCATGCATTGACTATCCTGCAGGAGGAAGGATTATCTTGAATCTTCCCCAAGTACAACAATTGGACAGGGAGTTTCTGTGGGTTTTACACAGTGGGAATCGGAACGATCCAGTCATGTTCATAATTTCATGCTGGCAGGGTCCGTATAGCAGCTAGCTCTTGCTCTCTAGTTCTTCAGACCCATCTTGCTCCAATTCTTCCTCATCTGACTGCACCACAGGAGTCTCAGCACCTTCTTCACTGGTGTCCAGGCTATTCAGGTCTGTAGAGGCAGACGATGTGGACGAAATTCGTGATTTGATTTCAACTGTATTGGGCACTTGCAGAGAAATATCTTCCTGGAAGGGGTTAGAATCTGGCAAAGGAGATGGACAAAAAGGAAAGAAGGAAGAAATTAGTGATTGGCATCTGCTTTACCCTGTCCCATAATATCCTGGTATCAGCCCTCGGGGATAAGTGAACCTACTATATCCGATTTAGTTTTTATTTTACAGCTACTGTATATTGCAGTTGATGGGCCAAAGTAGAAAACTCTGCATTAAAATTTCATGAACGTTGGTGCACATTTCTGTCAACATACATATTTCTTTTGTCATATTAACCTATTGCATACATTACCAGCTAATAATATCCTAGTGTATTTTATTCATTCTTTTCATGAACACCTACATCTTTGTGCAGACCTTTCCCTTTGCAACTTACTGACAAATTTGTTGATAAACTTTGTGGTAAAATTTAGAAAAGTGCATGTTTTGAATAACAAACATTTTTTGTACTACTTTAAAATGCAAGATTATGTAAGTCTGCACTGAAACCTAAATTATACTTTTCCATTTTTGAAAATGCATGCATTCATGAAAATACAAAATTAACTTAAGTTCTTGTTCAAATGCTATCCCATTCTAAAATATTCTACCACTTCATTTTGCAGAAAATACAGTAGGAAATTCTAAGTATTGCTGCAGGTTTTCGAAGATATGCAGTGCTTATTGAAATCAGTTAACAGACATATGCACACCAGGCTATTAATAGAAATGCAAAATGCACTGGATTTTATCATTGCATCACTGGAGTCATATAAAGTAATACGTACTACTATTGTTCCGGACTTAAATAAGTCGCATGTAAATCACTTTCAAAGATAAAGTACAGACAAGAAAAATGCTATTTTAGGTCAGAGGAGTTTAAATTTCATTTGTGCTGGGAAGCATTTATTCAATGATCAATCCTTCTCCAAACAAACAAACAAAACGTTACAGATTGCCAAGAATTCAATGCCCCCTGATAATTACACACGGTAGAGAATATTATGACTGTTCATTGCACTAGATGCATATGTGCAGATAAGCTATCCAGTTCCACAAACAGAACTGATCTTTTCTTGCAGTCATCCTGCAGATAATGAGTAGTGGATGAGGATCCCTTTCTTCTAGTTCTGCATAATCCTTCACAGTGCTTTTTTTTGTAAGAAAAAAGGTGCCGGAACTCACATCTTGTTAATTTTTTATTTTAAAAAAATATATATTCAGTTCTTAGCAGGACCAGTGGTTGAGAAGTAATTAGTATTTTTTTTTTTTAAATTTGGGGTCACACTTTTACACTAAAACTTAAAAAAAGATTTTTAATTCACCAACAATTTTTTAAAATAAAGAAATTATTTACCTTTTGCATGTAGTCAATCACTGTACATACACTCACACACATCAGTTGTGTAATGAAACATAACAGTCGCCACCCGCAGTAAGCACTCAGCGTGCGACCACACGACCAATCATAAGCTGAGCAGTGCCATCACAACTAGCGCGGACGAAGTACGCATGCATCAGACTCGACACACAAGCAGCCCGCTTGCACCGTTTTAATGATTTTGCTGCCGACCTGCTATGCTCGACAGGGTGATTCAAGTCCAAACATCAAATTTTCAAAAGTTACTTTTAAAACTTGGAAAATCTGTCAAAAAAAGGTGTCAGAACGCTGTTCTGGTGCATTCTATGATAAAAAAAGCACTGATCCTTCACCATGCCAAAAGAATCCATCATAAGCAGCCTTTTCAGGCATTTTGGCATGCCTGACCTAATTTAAAAATGTTATAAACATTTACATCTTTGGATATATTCTGCTCAGTTTAGAATACAAATCACAAAATGTAATCTGAGAGGAACAACAATGAGACGCTTCACTTAATGCTTAACATTAAACATTCTGTGGTCGTCCAAAACATGGTGACCATGTATTCCACTTGATGAAAGGTGTGACGATCTCTTGCTTAACAGATTGAGTGTATGGTTTGAATCACAATGACACATTATTATCTTATTATGTTTATTATGGCTTCAGTCAGCCTAAGTCAGTGGTTCTCAACCTTTTAAATGCTGCGACCCCCAACCGGTCGTAAGTCGAGGACTACTCAATCGGTTTGCAGAATGGGACTTTTGACGGGCTCAGCAGGGCAGAGACAGCGTGGACAATTCCTATTGGCTTTTGAAAGCTAATAGAATTGGACTCTATTCGAGAGAGTCTATTCTATTGGCTTTCAAAAGCCAATAGAATAAAAGGGAGTAGCACAGCTAAGGAAAAAGGGGAAAAAAATGGCGGACTGCGTTGTTTGGCGACCCCCGTGAAATGGTCGTTCGACCCCAAATGGGGTCCCGACCCACAGGTTGAGAACCACTGGCCTAAGTTCACAAAATGCCGTAGTAGAGATGCCAGCTAGAGAAAGAGATGTGACTTTAATAAAAATGGTCTTGTAAGACTGCAGCATCAATACTTCACCTCCTATTTGTTATATAAAAAAAAGCTCTGTAGATCTTGCCTTAAAACAGGGGTATCAGACTGCCGGCCAGCAGGCCAGTTGCATCATACGGAGGCCACACCCACCCCAACTCTGGCAATGCAAAAAAAGTTGTGATATGTCACGACATGTCGTGTGATGGCCAAGTTTGACACCCATGCCTTAAAATGAAAGAATCACACACTGTAGGAATTCCAGGAAAGCCCCTTTACTGTTGCAGGGGTATTTACATACTCTTGAAAGCCTGTCCAAAATCCTCGCTGTCCTGTTTGAAGGTCAATAAAGTCAAGGTGTGGCTGGGCTGACTCTCTTTCTCATACTTCTCACTTTCCCAGGACTAAGCAATCGTTTTCTCTCTCCACCTCCTTCTCAAGGGCAGACCTAAATTCCTTACAACATATTTCTGATTCCTTTGCTCCTGGAAGAAAATTTGCAAATATGTGGGAAGTACCTGAGTAAACATTCCAGAGTGCCAATAGTTTCTGCAGCTGCTTGCTCTACTACACCTGTGATTATTATGCGTCATTCATCTCCTTTTTTACACTGTCCACATTCTGCCTCTCTCTACATACAAATTTACATTTCAAAATTATTTATTCAATAGAAGATATGGAATTTTATTAATCTCTCCCCATATTTCCTGGTGATGTAATCATAATAGGAAACATGGTCCCCAAGTTGCCATAAGTTGCCATACGAACCACCCAGTACGAGTCCCCCGCAATAATAGTAAGGTTCTACATTTAGGCAAGAAAAACCAAATGTACAGGTATAGTATAGGGGTACCCTGTTCAATAGTAGTAGCTGTGAGAGGGACCTCACTAGGGAATCCTAATGGACAATCACTTAAATATCAGCCAGCAGTGTGCTGCAGCTGCCAAAAAGGCCAACACAGTGCTAGGCTGCATTAACAGAGGGATAGAATCAAGATCACGTGAGGTATTAATACTACTTTACAATGCCTTAGTAAGGCCACACTTGGGATACTGCATCCGGTTTTGGTCACCACGATGTATAAAAGATGTTGAGACTCTAGAAAGAGTACAGAGAAGAGCAACAAAGATGATTAGGGGACTGGGGGCTAAAGTATATAAGGAACGGCTGCTGGAATTGGGTATGTCTAGTTAAATGAAGAGAAGGACGAGGGGGGACATGATAGCAGTGTTCCAATATCTCAGGGACTGCCACAAAGAAGAGGGAGTCAAGCTATTTTCCAAAGTGCATGAAGGCAGGACAAGAAGCAATGGATGGAAACTAATCAAGGAGAGAAGCAACCTAAAACTAAGGAGAAACTTCCTGACAGTTAGAACAATTAACCAGTGGAACAACCTGCCTCCAGAAGTGGTGAATGCTCCAACACTGGAAGTTTTTAAGACGAGATTGGACAACCATTTGTCTGAAATGATATAGCGTTTACTGCCTGAGCAGGGAGTTGGACTAGATGACCTCCAAGGTCCCTTCCAACTTTTTATTATTATTACTATCGATCATCGCACAGTCAGCCAGATGTTCAGACTGGATTTGGCATTTTGTCTACCTATCGAGTCCTTACCCAGGACCTGGGATAGGCAGATGTGGATGTTTGATGGTATTACAGATATCGTCGCAGGATGGAAGCAGTTACTATTATTATTATTATTGTTGTTGTTGTTGTTGTTGTTGTTAGGATCTAACTGGCTAATGAAACATTATGAAACATGCTAATGAATATGTGATCCACTGACCTATTGGATTCAGGGACGGATGAAGCCAGTGACCCTGTAACCTTCTACCCAATCTGGGCTACTGTTTCGGCTAGATCCTATCTATGAATGAATCTTTGAGCTGCTCTTTATGAAATGCATATGCTATACATTCCTTCTCCATCTTTGGCCACAGGAGCTTTGGTGCCTGGTTTGTAAATCTCACAGCCTGGAGATTTAATCAGTGAGTCTACTTAACTGGAATGTGAAAGGCTATGCTGTGAAATGTCTGAATCACTCTCAGAGTGAATCATTGTGGTATAACTGAGCTCTGTTCCCTCTAGCACACAATCTAAAGTCTCCTGGCATTAGAAGGAAGATGTGTCAGCATTCAGTCCCAGCATTTAAAAAAGCTTTTGATCTATACAAATGCAAAAGTATTTTGGAGATGTTAGCAGTGCTGACTATCCGGGGACTTAACAAACTGACTAGATGCTTTGTTGGATTTTTATAATTTTATTTTTTACATAATTGTAAAGTTTTCATTCACTATACATGCATTCAATAAAAGCATTTGATAGAAGCACAATGACATCACATGCATCACAACACATTATGCTATGATGCAAATACCATTTGGTGCATAACTGGCATGATAATATTCTGTGGAGCATGATGTCTCTATCCCCATCTATGATGTGAGACAATTTGAGATGTTGCTTAACTACAGCTTCAAATATACCTCACCACTGGCTGGAGCTGCTGTAAGTTGTAGTTCCAACATCTGGAACATCACAGAAATTGTCCTGAAAGTGATGGTGGCAAAGGGTATTTAACTTTAGAAGTATTTAATATAGGCCAGGAAATATAGTCAGCCTGCTT